CACAGTAAGAATTTGACTAAAGTTAACAACAAATATTGCATACAGATATATGTAATATTTTTAACATACATACATACATATATACATATATTATAAAAATATTATATATATATATATATATATTATTTATGTATATAAATAATATATGTCTATATTATATATCTATATTATATCTATTACATATATATTTTATATTATAAATAATATAATATCATAATATTATTATATAAATAATTTAATATATACTATAATAATAATTTCATCTACATAATTTAATTAATAAAAGAATTCGTCGAAACACAAAAATTCGAAAATTGCATTCGCGTCCATAAATTACCTGTTTCGAGAGGAGCGCGCGTCGGCGGGTGAAAATAATCGTCGAGAGCACCGAAACAGCGATAGAATATCGAATTTCGTCGAGGCTCGCCGAAAGGCCGTGGGATTATCGTTTGATCGATTGCAGCCGGGTTCCGAGATAGTGTCGCTATAGGAACGAAACATTCGCGGCCGGCCGATGTCACAGCGGAGAGATTGCAGCGAACGTGGTTCCATGGTGTGTCCCGACGTAGATAATGCTTTAGGGAACTGGCCTCGCGATACGTTCGAATCCCGATTGATCCGGCGGCGGTCCGAATATGACGGGGACGCGGTGTGTGTGCGCAGAGAAGAAGCTCGCGGCGACGGGAAAGGACGGGCCGCCGGGTCCTCGCACCGATGACATTTACGGAACTTGCAATCTTCCGACTCGCTTCATGTACCCACGTGAGTCGAAATAATTTATCAACGGCGACGTTTCGCCGCCGTACACACGGCGGCCCCGTTCGATAGTTCGGAGCCCCATCTATCCCGTTGAATTTATTATATTGACCCTTCGCAGTCGCGCGACTCTCTTTCGAAGTTTCTCGCAACAGAGTTATGTACGCGTCGCGTTGCCGCGCAAACACCGTAAGCCGGAACACCGAAATCCAATTTCACCATACGAATCCATTTTTCTTGCGTACTCGTTTTTCCCCCAAACGCGCTTTCTCTTAGTCTGTTTATGTACTTTTTCCAGGGTTTTGAATCTTTTGTCGAGAGATTCCTTTCTTTGGCGTTCGATGAGCGTGTTTAAAAAGCAGTCGAGGAAATTATTTGCTTCAGCGATTCTGCGTTGGCCTGATAGGAGGACAACGAAAATTTATTTGTGGCTGCGACAATGTTAATAATTTATGATTTTTATAATTTATAATTTTAGTAATTTACAATTTTTGTATGGTGCAATTTTAATCATTTACAATTTTAATGATATACAGTTATAATAATTGACAGTTCTAATCATTTTAATCATTTACAATTTTAATGATATACAGGTATAATAATTGGCAGTTCTAATCATTTTAATCATTTCAATAATTTCAGTAATTTGAATAATTTGAATAATTTAGATAATTTGGATATTTGAATAATTTGGATAATTTGGATAATTTGGATAATTTGAATACTCATCATTTTCATCATTTCCATCATTTTGATCATTTTCATCATTTTGATTATTTTTATCATTTTTATCATTTCGATCATCTTGATCATTTCGATCATTTCGATCATCTTGATCATTTAGATGATCTTGACGATTTTGATGATCTTGATCATTTTCGTCATTTTGATCATTTTAATCATTTTGATTATTTTGATTATTTTGATCATTTTGATAATTTTGATCATCTTGATCATTTTCATCATTTTCATCATTTTTATCATTTTTATCACTTTGATGATTTGGTCATTTTGATCAATTTGATTAATTTGGTCATTTTGATCATATTATTTTAATCATTTTTGTAATTTTAATCGTTTAAATCATTTCAATCATTTCTGTCATTTTAATCATTCGAATCATAACAGCATCGCCAACAGTTAAACCAACAAATGCATCACGCAATTTATTATTTAATCGTGCAGTACATTCTATCAACTGCCAATTATAAAACGACGAGCACGTAAACGGGTAACGTTCACGGTGTTTGTTTTGCCGTTTGACTACGCAGCCAAATTAATTAATGAAAGTTTAATTAACATCGATACGCAAATGTCGACGGGCGGTCCGCGTAATTAATTTCTGATATTCGTTTTCGCGCACTGTGGAAATAACAAACTTCGCGGAAGAACACACTGGCTATAACAAGCTTCTTCGTATTAAAACGATAACGGCACCGGCTATTAATAAGCCAACGCTCGCGATCGGTAACTCTGTCTCTCTTTCTCTCGGCTTATCGGTGTTCCCGACATTTTTGCACATGTCCCAGGAACCCTTTCGCGAGATAGCCGCCGTTGGAAATGTACACAACTCCTCGCTTTCAACGCTGCTTTCACCGTGGACGGTTTTTCGCCGGACAGAACAATTTACTGGGAGACTTACCAGTTGAATCATACTTGCGCAATTGCGTTATTTTCGCCGGAGTCGAATACGAGGAAGAAGTTTTGTCGGAAGATTTAACGCGGTTCAAGTTTTATGGAATAACGCGGTTCAAAATTTGCGAAAATAATCGCAGTCTGATTCCTACGACAATGTGACATAGTTCAATTTTTTTTATAAAATTTTAAGGAGTGTCGTGGTTTACAAAATTTAGAACAGTTCAATTTTTACGTAATTTTGACGAGGGTCAATTTTTATTAAATTCAAAACAGTTCAATTCTTGTTAAATGTTGACAAAGGTAATTTTTATAAAATTTCGAAGAGTTTAATTCTTATAAAATTTAGAACAGTTCAATTTTTACGCAATTTTAACAAGGATCAATTTTTACAAAATTTAGAACAATTCAATTGAAATATAAAATTTATAACAGTTCAATTCTTGCGAAACTTAACCTCGTCGTCTTAACTTAATTAACAGCGTCCATTTTTACAAAATTTATAACAGTTCAATTCTTGCAAAATTTAACAAGGGCCAATTTCTACAAAACTTAGACCAATTCAATTTTTACAAAATTTAGCACAGTTCAATTTTTCGAAATTTTAACAAGGGTCGATTTTTACCAAATTTAGCAAAGTTCAATTTTTACGAAATTTTAACAAGCGTCAATTTGTACAAAATATTTGAACAGTTCAATTCTTGCAAAACTTAACATCGTCGTCTTAACTTAACAGCGTCCATTTTTACAAAATTTAGAACAGTTCAATTCTTGCAAAATTTAACAAGGGCAACTTTTCATAGAATTTAGAAGAGTTCAATTCTTAGACAATTTAGCACAGTTTAATTTTTACGAAATTTTAGCAAGCGTCAATTTTTACCAAATTTAGAACAGTTCAATTCTTACAAAATTTACAACAGTTCAATTCTTGCAAAATTCACCACGAGTAAATTTTTATCAAATTTAGAACAATTCAATTCCCACAACATTTCGTACAGTTCAATTTTTACGAAATGTAAACAAGCGTCAATTTTTCCAATATTTAGAACAGTCCAATTTTTACTGTATTTTAACAATGGTGACTTTTTATAAAATTTATAAGAGTTCAATTCTTACAAAATTTAGAACAGTTCAATTCTCACAAAATTTATCACAGTTCAATTCTAGCAAAACTCAACAAGTGTCAATTTTTCCAAAATTTAGAACAGCTCAATTTTTACTAAATTTTAACAAGGCTGACCTTTTATAAAATTTAGAACAGTTCAAGTCTTACAAAATTTTGAACAGTTCAATTCTCACAAAATTGAGCACAGTTCAATTCTCACAAAATTGAGCACAGTTCAATTTTCCTCAACCTCAGCAGTCTCAATATAAACAGTATTGCCAAAATAGTTCAAATATTTCCAAAATCCATCACAATACAATTTTAGCAAAATTCACCCCAGTTAACTCTACCTCCACTTTCTCGCTCCTGCCAACCAATCCGCCAGTAGTGAAGGTAGCCTACTCAGCATCGCCAGTAATCAGCCTCCAATTCTCAAAATCCAATTCCAAATTCGCAATCAATAAAAACCGCGATCAACACCCTCAAAAACCCCCTAAAAATCAATGACTCAAAAATCCCTCTTTCATCGACAAAACGAACAAGGTATTCCTCGAAGAGCCTCGACTCCGATAAACCCGCGCCGCCAGCGACGCTGCGCTCGTCCAAACAGGGAGATACCGTAGTTTTACCGCGGGAATCGTGCAAAACGACGAAATCGTCCGCGTTCCAGGAAACATTTCCCCGTTTGTCGAGCATCGTCGCCTCCGAGCCGATCATCGGCTAGCTGCCCTGCTGTCGTTCGCCCCGCTGTTATTCAGTGGTCACCGAGCACCCGAGTGAACGATGCGGCTCCTCTCGTTCGTTTGTCTGCTGTTATCGGTCACCGTCGACGAGGTCCGCGCGGAGGATTCCGACTGTCAGGTCTACAACCATCTGTACGTGTGCCTGTCGCGCGGGCAGCTGCAGAGCGTGGCGTTCGAGGATGTGAACGCGGTACAGACGATCGAGGACATCGAGCTGCACCTGGAGGGTCTGGGCATCACGGACATCGCCAGGGACGCGTTCCTCGAGGTATCGAACGCGTCGGCGCTCTTCCTGCGAGACAACGATCTGCCGGTCATCTCCAGGCACCACTTCACCGCGCTGGACCAGCTGACCTACCTGGACCTGAAGAACAACACGATCGCGGAGATAGAGGACTCCGCGTTCGCCGGTCTGCGCAACCTGGAGACCCTGCTGCTGGACTACAACAACATCACCGGCTTCAGACCGGGCACCTGGCGGGGCCTGGGCGATCTGCACGAGCTCTACGCCACCAACAACAACATCTGCCTAAGGAGGAACATGTTCAGGGGCCTGAGACATCTGGAGACCCTGGCACTGGACAGCAACGAGATCGCGGACCTGCCGGTGGGCGCGTTCGACGGGCTGCCGCACATCGACCTGCTCTATCTGTCGCGTAATAACATCTCCAGCCTCCACCCAGAGGCGTTCCGCGGCCTCGGCGAGGTCAACGAGCTGGACTTGGGTAGGAACCCTATCGGCAACCTGCCAGCCGGCGCGTTCCGTCATCTCAAAAAGCTGAACTCCCTCTGGCTGAACGGGAACCGCATCACGGCGATCAGGGCGAACGCGTTCGACGGGTTGGATAACCTCCTGGTACTGTTTCTGAGCGGGCCTAGGCTTCGGCACGTCGACATGGCCGCCTTCGCCAGGATGAGGAACGTCACCGTGGACCCAGGCTTCAAGATACACGGCGCGCTAGTCGAGCGGCTGGCCGACGTGCACGGCCGGCTCCAGTGCCACAGCGTGTCCGAGCAGCTGCCCTACGAGTGCGCAGGCGCGAGACTCTGAGCCGGCCCCGAGGACTCCGCGGGGAGGGCGCGGCAAGCGGCGCGCCGCCGGAGGCCGAACGCGATCGCTCGGGCTCTCGGCATCGAACGCTCGCAGTGCCCTCTCTGGGGAGTCCTCGAGCGCCCGGTTCTGTAGCTATTTCTGTACACGATGGAGAACGGAGTTATTGTTTCTGCGGAGCGATTTGTTAATAAAGGCTTTTTCTACCAGTATTTGTCTTCTTGAATTCTGAATTTTATCTTTTGCTTTTGTTGTTCTTTTTGTTTTGGAGCGTCGCGAGGTTGGAATCAAGTTGGGGTGGGGATGCGTGAAAGAGGGGAGCTTGTACGACGGAAGTTGTTCTTGCAGGTGTGTTCTTGGGCTACCGGCAGGACGAGACTCCGCTGCCGCATCCATGTTACAGGAGCACGTCGATGGACTACGGATGGTACGCGCCGTCCGTGCACACCGTGCCGACCAGATATTACCCGCGGAACACTTCGTTCAGCGACGGCCAGGCGCTCGGCGGAATGTACAGAAACTGCTCGGTGAACACGGAACTGGACAAGAGCGTCGTTTGAGTATCTTATCGGGCGGCCGACCAGAATAAATCCGCCTTGATTCCACGGCTAATTATAGAACCGGGGATACTTTCGCCGATGTACGCGCGAAACCGTTGTATCACGAATTCTATTTCGAATAAATCTTTGCGAAAGAATAGCCAAAATATGATCCGCATCGTTTTTTATTGTGGTACCAATGATGTGCCATTTCTTTTGTTGACAGTTTTTTTATAAAAATGTTTATGCGAGAAATTTTTATATTTTATTATATATTATATTACACTTTTATATTATTATTATTTTATATTATTGCTACTTTATGCTATTATTATTTCATATTATTATTATTTTATATTACTATTTCATGTTATTATTATTTTATGTTGCTATTATTTTATATTGTTATTATTATTTGTGTGATTTCGGTTCTTGTGTTGCAGTACACTCGAATAGTGCTTTGATCCTTTCTTTCTTCTTTCTTCCTTTTTTCTGTTCATTTATCATTATTTTATATTATTGTTATTTCAAATTATTATTATTTTATATTCTTATTACTTTATACTATTAATATTCCATATTGTTATTATTTCATATTACTATAATTCCATTATTACTATTATTTCATATTACTATCATTTTATATTATCATTCAGTCGTATATTAAAAACGCGGAACAAGGAGAGCGAGCGCCACGAGTTCCGGCGAGAAAGGAAGCGCGACGTGGCAGTGGGCGGGACGCCGGCTGCATTGGCCCCGCCCGCCCTACTCGTTCGCTGTACTCGCTCTCCGATTGGTCCGCCTTTCTCCATCGATAACTCGTGAACGGAAGCTCCGGTGAAATTTTCGCAAAGGAAAAGTTGCTCGAAATCGTCCGATGAATCGTTGTTCGCCATTCAATCCCGACATTTATGAATGTTGAAATTCGCAAGGGTTAGCGAGATAACGGAAATTAAACGAGATCGTGCAGAGTTCTATTTTTTCTATATATTCTTTATTATTACAGCTTAGCTTGCCGCGATGCAGTAATCGTATTTGTTTAACAGACCCTACGCAGTCGACCCAGGATTATACTGCGTCCCGACTCTACCGCTGACTATAGTGTTGTTTACGCACGGGATATTGTTTACGTTCACTAACTTTGTCCTCTGTTACAGCGTTCCCTCCACTACAATCCTGATCCCGGATCGTTTTCAATTCTCCGACCCCGAGAGAGTTCCTTTACAAGATCGGCTAATGCCATTCATTGTCGCCGAACGCTGCTCCATACAGTGTGTTCCGTCATAGTGGTAATGATAACTTCAACATAGATTTCCATATGTGTGTGTGTGTATATATATATATAATTTTCGATTTATATATATATATATATATTTATAAGATATTTATAAATGTGTGTACATAATTCGACTGCTCGATTCGTCGAAGAGTACTTAACATTTCAACGTTTCAACAACCATTAACGACCTGCTGAACGCTCGTCGACGTTTCCTATCGTCCTGTACCGTAATTAGAATTTACTGATGTGCAGGTTGCTACATTCGTTACAAGGACATTTTCGGATCATGGACGCCGCGTCGACGAACCCGCGGATCGATCTATCGAGAATCCCTGGCCGGTTGGTCACGGTACTTCGGAGATATACTTAGATCAGTTCGCCCGGCGATTTTCCACACCACGTCACGTATCAAAATTTCCCTAACGGCGTCGTGTAGAAAACTGTGCGAACCGTGGCAGACGATCGCGGTTACATTTTCCCGCGACGATCTCGAATCGATGATCGCGAATTTCAGATTTCGATTCGGAGATTCGAAATCAGTGGTTTTCAATCCGATGATTTGAAATCGATGATTTTAAGTCGATGATTTGAATTCCGTGATTTGAAATCGATGATTTCGTATCGATGATTTTAAATCAATGATTTTGAATCGATGATTTGAAATGGATGATTTCAAGTTGATGATTTGAAATGAATGATTTCAAGTTGATGATTTCAAATCGATGATTTCAAATCAATGATTTCAAGTTGATGATTTCAAATCGATGATTTCAAATTGATTTCAAATCAATGATTTCAAGTTGATGATTTCAAATCGATGATTTCAAGTTGATTTCAAATCGATGATTTCAAGTTGATGATTTCAAATCGATGATTTCAAGTTGATGATTTCAAATCGATGATTTCAAGTTGATGATTTCAAATCGATTGTTTCAAATCGATGATTTCAAATCGAAGATTTCATAGCGCTGATTTCGAATTTCAGTTGACGAATCGAAATTTTTAAATCGATGATTTCAGATCGATGATTTCATATCGATGACTTCACATCGATGATTTCACATCAACGATTTCACATCGATGATTTCACATCGACGATTTCACATCGATGATTTCGCATCGACGACTTCGCATCGACGATTCCACATCAATGACTTTATATCGATGACTTCATATCGATGATTTCATATCGTTGATTTCGCTTGCCACCGGAAAACCAGGCCCTTCTCGACAGACCTACCGCGAGACCATTCCACCGTCCGTCTCCGTCGCTGTCGCGCCACGTCACTCGCGGCTATCCCCCCTCCTCCGAGGCTCCAGCAACGACCCGCGTACGGGGCGGAGGCGGGATCGCGCGGCGCCCGCAACAGTTTGTATCATATACAACGCGTCTTATCGACCTTAATAATAATCCGATAGCTTTCACATGAATAACCATTACATTATACCAGACCCGATAATCCACTGATGATCCTTAACGGCTAAACGGAGACAAATAGAACTCGCATTTTACGCAATTACTTTAACACCTTGTCCGATTGCCTGTCGTCATAACGCGGCGGATAGATTAAACATGGGTAAATGACGTCGCACGCTCCGATAGATCGTCGATCGTCCCGCGAATAGATTTTCGCGGTCCGTCGACGATCCCGTCGGGTGCGCCCCAAGCTGGGCAAAAAATCGGGCGAAACGTATCCGCGAATCGACCGGCGGACGACCGATCGGAACCGATCTCTCGGACGCTGCGCCACGATCAACTCGTTGGCTCTTCGTTGTTCCATCGATTCGTATTGTAATCGGTGCGCCGCTGGTTGCAGACGGTCGTATCCGTTAGCCCCCGGGCTACAGAGTCGATCAGCGTCCGTTGCAGATCCGTCGGGTATCTCGCGAGTTCCGCCGGAGCGCGGCTAAGCGGGCTGACAGCGCTGGTCTGGTGTACCCGCGCCGCGAGCAGAACATCGAATCAACGCTAACGCTACTCTCTCACACACTTGTCTCGATCGAGGGGGCGCGGTCGCTCCGCTCGTGAATAACCATATATTGTCGTACAATTGATACCGAATAACGATCGCCGACGGTGGCGCAGCAACGGCGATCCACCGCCGATCGCATCGAAAGTTACTTTTCCGCGTGTAGTTTTACTCCATTCCCGCTGCTTATTGATATTATCATTATTATTATTATTATTATTAATATTATTATTATTAATACTATTATTATTGTTATTATTATTATTATTATTATTATTATTATTACATGTCTGCGCTCGGAGCACCGGACCGCACGCCGCCGCGTCCCATCGCGTTTACATAACAGTTACAGCATCCCGAGCAATTTACAATTAATTAGACCTGAAAACTAACCACTCGAAACGCGCTGCGCTCTGGAACGATAGGCTCTCTCCGTTTCGTTCGCTCAAGGTCACCGCGGCGGGTGATCCGATAGCGATAGTCTGCTACGACAGCGATAGCAATACGTACAATGTGTGTACAATGATAAATTTGTCTGGTGTACCTGCGGATACGTGCGTGATTATAGTACATGTGGCTAGCACTCATTGAAATCAAGGAGGTAACGTACGGTTACATAGAGCCTAAACTTACTAGCCTAGCGTGGACCCGCCCGAGTGTCTCGGGACGATCCGTGCCACGATCCACGTGCAACAGTCCGGTCTGTGAAATAGGTCCGATCGGTAATGCGCCGACTTAAACGGTCACCGACAACCACCGTCTCCGTGTCCAGCAGGCGGCGTCACCAGGAACCGGCCACAGAGGGCGCCGTCTCGAATCGAAGTCCGAGCGCTCACTGGACACACGGTGGGGACGCAGCGTCGTCCGACTCGTCGCGCGCCGCCGTCCATTGGCGCGGTGAGTCATCGCTCGAGCCGCGCGACGCGCTTCCCCCACCGCCATGCGTCCACGGCGCGCTCCCGCTGCTCGGGCGCTCCTCGGCGCGACATCCACGGGCGATGGCGCCGTGCGGACGCGGTGCGCGAACAAGCGGTGGGCTGACCGTGCTACTGCCGCACTGAGCATTCACTTCTGCGGGCCCCCGCGAGAGGCGCCTTCCGCCGGTGCTCGCCGACGCGTTCGCTCTACAACGGCGCTGCTGCGGCAGCGTCACCGTAGCGGCTACCGAGCGATAGATACTCTCGCACTATTTCCAGAGTCTCGCAGAGCACCAAGCGGACCACGTCGGAAGTAAACGATTAGGGTCGCAGAAGTGGGAATAAGGTCGACCGACCTCTCGTTCTCGCACCGAGGGCGCAGGAAATGAGAGGAGCGGACGGGCGCCCCGTCGCGCCGCGGCCGGCTACTGGCAACAGGCGGCGCTGCTTGCAGCCGAGTCGGCGCGCTCCCAGCTCGGATCAAGGCTGCTTCGCGTTCGTGCCGATCCTTCCCGATTCGTTGTAATCAGATCGATTTGGTGTTTGCGTTTCGCAACCGTGACGTCGTCCGGGCGGATCGGTGTTCGGGGTGGATTTGAGAAAAAGAGAAAGAGTGGGAGAAAAGGATCGACGGAAGGGGGAGCAACGAGGCACTAAATCGGCTGGCGCCGCGCGGGCCGGGATCGCCGGCTCGGCTGGCCCCGGGACCGGACTGCCGCGGATCGATGGATCCCAGCGGTCCACGCGATAGGACCCTAACATGGTTTTCCTTCTTGGTCGAATATGGGTGGAAATCAGTTTCCTGTTTCGCAACGGGTGTGTACGTGCCATCTACAAGTCGTTCCGCGGCTTCGACGCACGCTATTCACGGTGAATCGTGGCCAATGACGCGGTAATACGCAACACAGGGGATCTAGATTGATTAAGATTGATCCTTAACGCTACGGGGAACAAGCCGGCGACGAACGCCGCGGTTTTTTGGGAGGGGATAGGGACGAGAGAGGGGGAAGGGACATGGATCGGGCGCTTGTATGCGCTAAAGGTACGCGCAGTGGTACGTTCTCCGAGATAGTTGACTAGAATGCAATTTTCGTGGCGTGCCGCGTGGCCCAATGACGTTCGAGCGCACAGCTTGACGCGTCGAAGCTCGAATCTTCGACATTATTCAATGTTTACGAAATTCCCGAGAATTTCGGCAACCGTTTTTCCTTTGGGAGAAAGCGCCACCCCGCGTCGTTCCGACGAAATCATACGTTACAGACGTAAACACGATTTTGGAGTATACGAGGAGGTATTGACGGCTCTGCTCACTACATCACACGGGCACTAGAACAAATGATTGAGGATCCGAACGGTTTCGCCGATAACAAACGTTCCAGCCTTCCTGACCGAGCGGTTCGCGTGTCTCGTTCGTTCGAGCCGCGTCGAGTCGTCGGCCCCCACGCGACCGTCCCTCGTCGCGCATCCTATTGGACGACGGAACGCGGAGGCGTAGCGACGCCCCTCGCGACGGACGGTCGCGCGAGCCGTCGACTCCGGTCCGATTCCGAGTCCTTAAGGCTCCTCAGAGGAAGCCTGCCACCATCACTGGCCCACTGTTCGATGGGCCGAGACCCGCCGTCGACTCATCCCGGACCCAGCTGCCCTTTCCTAGTTTCTATCCTACCTAGTGCATAAACGCGCACCCCTGAGATATTCGGTAACCATAAACCGCGTCTACGTGTCAGTGCAGATCGGACCAGTTCTGCTCTCAGCGAGTCCGTCGGGGCGCGTCCGCACCGACCGCTCTCGGATCCTAAACGACGACTTATTCCTCGGCGCCCAACCCCCCACCACTCTGCCGCTGGAGCAGAGCTCGGAGGCATACACAGCGTACACACGCCCGTAACACAACTTCCGTCTCACTCTCCGCGCCGTGGCGTCAGCTCCGATTCTGCCGGACCTTCGTTCTCGTGGACTCCCCCCACTCGGGCTGCGGTACTGTCCGCTGCCTCGCGGACCACCGTCGAACCGGGATTGCCTACGAAACTGGCGACTGCGCGAACGTGATCCCACGATCGAACCACCGACGCGTTACCCGGATCGGTTGCCGTTCACCGGGGGGGGGGGGGGCCGTACTCGTCCCGTGAAATGAACCTGAACGTCTTCGTTACCAGCCGATGTTTTGATGCCTGGACGGTGCACGTGTTCACGTTGTTTTAAAAAAGTATAAACAATAGGACCCTCGTGGCCGAGCGCGCAGCGATTGCGGCGTTACGAAGAGGGTGCGTGCGTCGGAGACAGATGGGGGTGAGATCGGTGACAAGAAGGGCACTTAAGTTGTCGTCAAGGCACATCGATAACTAAACGGTCGGACGTACTGTTAACCTCGTTGAACTCCCGAAACCCGGCTCGTTTTCGAAGTTGCAACCAACACAGGCGAATCAAAGCTACGCGCCCGGTCGAGCCTCGACCGGCGCAAAATTGTGCAAACTGGGCAGGCCCGGGGCTGCCCTGGTGCATCTGGGACCGTACTGGGCCGCTGGCCCCGACTCTGACGTTCGGAGATACTTGCTATCAATCACCGGGCCGCTGGGAGGCGGCTAAAAAGAGTGTGGTGGGGTTGTATTGGAATCCTTGAAACGGTAACAGAAGCGTCTCAGTTGCGGTGGTGGGGGCAGCGACCACTGCGTCCCTTGTTACAGCAGGGCTCTGTCGAACTGTCTATCTTTTCGACTCGTTTCAGTGGCTCGCTTCTGGCTCTGCCAATTCTAGGAACTGGGGATTTTGAAGTAGGGTCCGGGGGTGCGGAGTGAATCGTCTGATATCGGCACCCCTGTTGCACTAATCGCCAGTCCTTAGTCTAGGCAAATTCAGAGAAAGGGACTTTTCAAACGAACGTCCAAGTTCGGATTCAATTGCGAACGCTTGAGAGTGCACTACTGTAACTAGAAGAACTTGCGGGTTTGTGAGAGTCGACTGACTTTAGCGGTGGAGCGGGAGTCGTTTGACTCAAGCGCTGGAGCGGGAGTCAACTGACTGGAGCGTTGGAGTGGGGGTCGTCTGACTCGACTGCTGGAGCGGGAATCGACCGACTGGAGCGTTGGAGTGGGGGTCAACCGATTGGAGCGTTGGATTGGGTGACGTCTGACTCGAGCGTTGGAGTGCGAGTCGACTGACTCAGGCGTTGGAGCGGGAGTCGGCCGACTGGAGCGTTGGAGAAGGAGGCGTCTGACTTAAGCGTTGGAGCGGGAGTCGACCAACTGGAGCGTTGGAGCGGGAGTCGATCGACTGGAGCGTTGGAGTGGGAGTCGACCGACTGGAGCATTGGAGTGGGAGGCGTCTGACTCGAGCGTTGGAACGGGAGTCGACTGACTCGAGCGTTGGAGGGGGAGTTGACTGGCTCGAACATAGGGGGCAGCACCAGGGTCCCAGGCCTGTAATAGAGGATGGATTAAGTTCAACATCTTTGCATCTGCATACCGTTCGGCTATTCCGCTCTACAGCCTGTCGCCCGCGTAGCAATCGAATCGGAAATAATGCCGGAATGGACAGGCAGGCTATTCCGCTTGCAGTCCTACACGTTCTATCGCATCTCCGTCTAACCAACATAAATCACCGTCGAAACGGTCGTCGTGCCGACGTCTACAAAACCGAAGGGTACCGTCGGTTCGGATGGTTCCTTAATCGGCGAGCAAACGTACGGAACAGTGGAAGGAATCTGTTCCGGTCTCGACTGGTTCGAAGCTGACGCCACGCCGCCTATTCTCGTCGTACTTACGATCAGCCCTTACGCTAATGTGAATTGAGATCATTTGGATGAAAGAGCTTTCTTCGTGCCGATCTGTCGATCTTCCATATCGGCCTTCTCCGAGCACCGTTACCAAAGAAGCGAATCGCAAACGCATCTACGGCGAGCCTGACAGCCTAGTCTTTTATTCATATATATTATATATGTTACAAATGTTATATATCATATATTATATATATTATAAATGTTATATATCATATATTATATATATTATAAATGTTATATATCATATATTATATATATTGTAAATGTTACATAGCATATATTATATATACTATAAATGTTATATATCATATATTATATATATATATATATATATATATATATATACATATACATATGCATATACATCTATATTTGCAGATCATCGAGCGTTCTCGGTTTTGCATCGAAATTTGCGCGAGCGCAAACAGTAGAATGCCCATTGTATGTATATCATTTTCCCCTTTCTCCCGCTGTTCCCTTCAACCGTCGTTAATTTTTTTTCATCTTCTTCCCCTTCTCATCTCTCGCACGAACACCGAGTCACTGCAAATCTCCACCGCCCTCGTCCTCCCCGTGCCTAGTTCACGAGCCCGTCACTTATTCTCGTTCGCCCTCGCCGTTCCTATAATCTCTCCCACCTTTTTTTTGTGTTTATCACATTTTTGATTTATCCCCACCGCTGGTAATCATTGATCTTAAACATCTACGGACGAACGAACGCCCCCTTCGTTTTCCGTGAATCTTCCGCGCCCGGAGTCTCTCCCACCTCCCACACCCTCCGGGAGGAGGGGGGAGGGGGAATTTTCGCGAGACGTGAAAATCTTTGGAAAAGGAAAACGGTTCGTTTCATGGTATTTTAAAAAACGTTACGGTCGTTTCACCACGTTAATTTTAATTGGAATCCCCGGGACAGTTTTCAACATCGAGATGCTCGCGATTGTACGATATGACCAAAGAAATTTTTGACCCATATTTATATATATGTAAATATATATATTTATCCAAATCGTCTCGGCGATCGCCGGCCGGATTATCAATAATTTTCTGTGTTTGCCGAAAATTTATAATTTTGATTCGTCATTAGTTAAAGATCACCTGCGATGGCCGGCGAGCCACGGAATAATTTCGCCCCCCCCCCCTCCACCACGAGTCCGTTTCGTCCAAACCGTTTTGCCGTTTGCTCGCATGCACGATGTCAAATTACTGTCCGCCGTCGAAAGCTTAATGACTATTTGTGCGCTTAAGATAACAAGGACGCGCGCCGTTGCCGAATGTTCTCCGTTACGGCCCGCGGTCCCGTCTCTAGCCGAAATGTTCAAGTATAATGCCCGAATCTCCTCGTATTTGTTTGTTACTCCTCGATCATGTCGCATGACGTCGGTTCACAAATATTTTAACAATTTTACAAATATTTTCTCAGCCGCAAGACTTTTAAACCCGCCCGCACGTTAATTTCCACAAACGCCGCTCGCTCCGGATCCCCTCCCCGCCGCTCTCGTGTCCCCCCACCACTCGCGCTGTTCCCCCGCTCGCCGCTCTCGTGTCTCCCCGCCACTCGCGCCGTTCCCCCGCTCGCCGCCCTAACCTCCCGCCCAGCGCCGCTCCCACACCGAATCTCTCCCTCTCTCCCACTCTACCTCTTGCCGTCTTCCCGTTCTCCGTCGTCTGCTGCGTTTTCCTTTCTTTTTTTTAGACAATGCTCTATAAATCGAAAAAGTTAAGCCTAAAAATGGTGGATCGCCGGAAGTAAAGTCGGATGAGGAGATGACAGGGGCCTATGGTACTGTTTACTGCTTTTTGTTTTTGTTGTTTTCTTCTTTCTTTTTTTTATTGTTATTATCACTTCCTGCATTGTTTAGTCGAAAAACCAAGCGCGGCGTTCCCGTAAAACCGAGACGTGAGAGCAATGTATATACGTGTGTCTGTTTTTTGTGTTGTTCTGTTTTGTTTTGGTTTGGATTGTTTTGTTTTGTCTGTCACGTGTGCGCAGAACGGATACGTCGATGGTAACGAAAACCATAACATTGACGCTCGGACGAAAAAAGAAACAAATAAAAACGAGAAACTGAAGCACGTTATTTTGTCGTTTTTCTTTTCCTTTCGTTTCAACCTGAGAATCGCTCTTAGCCACTATTTAAATGCTGAATACACATCGAATACATAGAACCTACATAGTACTTTTTTCCCCCACCTTTCATTTTAATATACATGAACGACCACGACTTTTATTTTATTTTATTTTATTTTACTTTTTGTCACCTTCATTTTAAACCCCCTTGGTAATCCTTCATTCCCTCCTTTTTTTTCCCTGTTCCGGTTTTACCAATCTACCCCCTCCCCCCCCGCCCCCCAGAGTATCGAAACACGCAGCGAATTTAGAACTCATAGATTAAATACCAAGGAGAACCGAACGATTAATAATGATAAATCACTGTGACGCGCTGGAAATGAAAGAAATTTTTTTGGTCGAACCGTGTCGAACGAGAAAATCGTCGGCCCGAACGTGGCCCGAAATCCGGTCAATAATCGCATGGTGTACAGGGTTAATGGACGAATCGTTTGATCGGTGAACGTATGGTTTAACGAGTTATTGTTTATGTTTCTTTTTTTTTATACACGTCGCCGTGGACCGTTAGCGAAATTTACATCGTCGCGCCCCGTGCGGGGGCGCTTCAGCGTCGTTCGGTCGCGCTCGGTGATCTGCAAATACACTTACGCATATCCATATCTATATCCATATATATATATATATATATTTATATCTAGGCGTCGCGGCCGCCGTCGGCGACATAAGCTAATCTAAATCAGGCCAGCCCAATAGAATCGATAGAATATCATAATCAACGGAACCTGTCAATAGAGAATCTCAGCAACAGCAACAGATCGTTTGCATAGGTTATGTAACGGAATCGTTGTTGGACCGTCTCTATGTCTTCGCGCAACTTAACGGATAATGCTCGACGGAGATCCCTCCTTTGCGCCCGGCGATTACGCTCGAACGGATTTACATGTCGCCGAAGATCCCGGCGAACGTCTTTCGGAGGTTCTTCATGGTGTCCTCGGAGTCCTCGTTCTGCGTCTGACTGCCCTGCCGGTGGAACGGTATTCTAGACGGCGGCGGGTCCTCCGGCCGGCGGCCGACCGAGGGGGCGCTGCTCACCGTGCTCGATTGCGAGGCTGCGTGGTAAACATCGTTTTGCGATATTAGTTTCGTCCCAAAAGGTTCCTGAGGTCATTTCAAGCAACTTTTTCCTTTGCGAAAATGTTCTACGAGGCTCCGTTTACGAGTTATTCGCAAAAAACGCGGACCAATTAGAGAGCGAGGGCGGAGCGCGGACGAGCGGGGCGTGGCGCAGCAGGTTTTTCGTTGTTAACTAGTAAACGGAACATCGGAGAAAAAATTTGTAAAGGAGGAAGTTGTTTCTAATGACCCCGGGAACCCCAATTTTCGGGTTTCGAGACATTTTTGGGACACCCTGTATTTTAATTGGTATATAGTAATTTCTCTCTAAATGACGCCGAGTTGGAATTGTAACCGAGAAGTATGAGAATCTAAGTAATGATTCTTCGAGCCTCGCGGCTCGCCATTATACAGGGTGTCCGAAAATTATTGTACAAGCGAGAAAAGAGGTTCCTGAGGTTATTTGAAGCATCCTTTTCCTTTACAAAACTTTTCGCCGAGGTTTCGTTTACGAATTATTAACGAAAAACAGTAACTAATCGGAGAGCTAGCGCGGCTGGCTCGCCGTCCTCTCCGCCAGTGCCGCGACGCGCCGGTCGTGTGACGCAGCGGCGGCGGTCGCGTAGGCGGGGCGTCAGCCGTACGCGGTCTCTCATTGGTCACGGTTTTTCGTGAATAACTCGTAAACGAAACATCGGAGAAAATTTTTGTAAAGGAAAAAGTTGCTCCAAATGACCTCGGGAACCATTTCCGAATTCGATTTCCTATTTATAAATTGGGAATGACTGGTTAATCCTTGTATAAATTGCGAATCGAGCCAGAAAACTATAAAACCCCGGGTGACCATGACATCGTCCTTGAAAACGCACAAACCTTGAGAATCTCGACGCTGTAGTTGATGGTGGCTGTCCGCGGTGGTGGTCTCAGCGGGCATAGTAGTTGTTGAGGACACGGATCCCAAGCTCCCTATGCTCGCCATGGATCCTATGCTCCCGTGCGAGCCCAATGGCACAGGTGGTGGGGCGGTGCGATCTTCAACGGGACTCGTCGCCTGGCTGGTGCCAGTTATCGACCCTCTGGACGCCGTCTTCGTCAACACGCTCGGTGGTCGGCAGCATACCTGCAACGGTCGTGCGATTATCAACGTACAAAGTGGTCCAATTGCGAACGGATTCCGGTCTTCGTGAGTCCAAAATCGAGACTCCGACATTGCAGTAGTTCCAGGATACCTAACCTAAAATACTGGACCATGTTCGAGCGAATTTTTCTGTGAAAAAAATTTTGCTTGAAGTGACAAAAGATAATAAAACGAAGCTTCTCAATTTTTTATGATATTTGACCTTTTGATCTTGTAATCCTTTGCCCTCTGAGGAGAGCTTTGAGATGACCTATCGATGACGGGGATATGTGTTTGTTCGTAAAATAAATTTGCGATGATTTAACAGTAATTTTAAATTATTTTACGAGACAAAAATTTGTTAGCTTGACGGCACCCTAATTAACAATAGTCTTGTTAAATAGATAATGAAAATAGCAATTCATTTGAAGGATCGTACAAAAATCTTTTGCAAACAATTGCAATTGTAGCAAAAATTTTTTTACTCACTGTAAAGGTTATATAAACTAGTCTGTCTAATAGCTCGAAAGAATTGCATGGGTCGCCGACAGTGTTGCCAGCTTTAGGGACTTTTCTGTTGACCTAGGGACTTCTAGCCTTTTAAAAAAATACTTTACAAAAAATTATTAACGTGCTTAGGTCAAAAATTATCAGTTTGAAAGTCATGATTATTGTTGTGATCTTAGTCCAGTGTTGCCACATCTACGGACTTGTAACCTCGTCCATAAAGTTCTAACCTTGTTTACAGACTTTTAACCTCGTCTGTGAACTTTAACCTAAATTGACAACGCGGCAAAAACATTTATTCGTTTACCCAGAATGCTCAGCACCATTTCTTCCTTTTATTTTTATTAGCGCAACATGCGCACTTGCCACGTGTGCAAAGAGAAATCCTTATCTACGCGAGAACCGTTCGCACTATTTACGAAATCCGATTCACGGAATTCCGCGAACCGTTGAGCTCTCCCCAACGCGGTCTCACGAAGCCGGCAGAACGGCAACACTGGCCGGCGAGTCTCCCGAATCGCGGCGACCGCTGCGTGACCGTAAAGACCCTTTTACCTGCATCTTCGCTGTAACGAGGTCCGCGATGTGCCGGCGATCTTCCTCCTGCGTGTCGCCCATTAACGACAAAGCGCTGTCGTTCACCTCGATGATGTACTCGCGGCCGTCCTTCCCGACCAGCAGCTCGATCGCGCATATGTCCAATCCGCCGAACAACTGGGCCACGTGATCGATCCATGTACGGTGTCGCTCGCTGACGGCTAATTGCTCCAACATCGCCGAGCCCGTGTTCGACTTCCAGTTTCCGCTTATGCTCTTCCGCCTATGAGATTGAACCGGCAGTGACAACACCGCTATTACTACTATTATATTATTATTGTATATATTATATATTATTATACCATAATTATTGAAATATATTATTATATATTACATACTATAATTATTGTAATATATTTTTATTATTATATGTTATATACTATAATTATTATAATATATTATTGTTATATGTTACTACAACTATTATAATATATTATTATTATTATATGTTAATATAACCATTATAATATATTATTATAAATATTGTAATATATTACTATAATTATTACAATATATTATTGTAATTATTATGATATACTAGCATAATTATTATAATATATTACAATAATTACAGTATACTATTATATGTTACTATAACCATTATAACATATTATTATAAATATTGTAATATATTACTATAATTATTGTGATATATTAGTATAATTATTATAATATATTATTATAATTATAGTAATATATTATTATTATTATATATTATATACTATAATTATTATAATATATTACAATAATTACAGTATACTATATTATTATAATTATTACAACATATTACTATAATTATTATAATATATTGTTATAATTATATTATAATATATTACCATAATTATTATAATATTAGATAGAACGGGACCGTCCGAAAGGGCAAAGGCGAGCAGGTGCGCATCGATCATGCCCCCGTCGCTTATGATCGCGGCCTGACACGCCTGTAGCTGCACATATTCAATTGTTGATGCCGGGGCGAGCCGCACGACGGTTGTTATTCATTTCGGATCAGACTCGACCCACCCGCTGTCTCCGGCTCTCCCGTCCACCTACCGGTCGGGCGGGCGGGCGACATTGTTGCCCGAGCCGAGCTATTGCTAAACAACCGTCGTTGTGGGACGAAGCGACTTCGCGGCGACAGAAAAATTTCTAACCTCGATACCGCTCTGTGTAGACCGATGAATTTTCCGCGAAGACAACCGTGAGGTTACGACAAAGGGAACGAGAAATTTTATAACCTTTATCGCGTTCTCGATCTCGGGCGTTATTTTTAGGTTAGGTTGGTCGTTCTTTGTTTTAAAACGTTCTCGGCTTGTATAGCTCACGCGGGCCTAACCTAGATCTAATGCGGACGTGAGCAAGTTCTAATAGTGATTTAGTGTAGGATTTAATGCGGACGTGGCTGTGCTTTAATACTGATTTAGTCTGGATTTAATGTATACGTAATCGAATTTTAATGCTGATCTAGTCTAGATTTAATCCTGTTTTAAACAAATTGATCTAGACATAATTAGTTTCAATCTAACCTTAATTTGCATTTAATCTAGACATAAGCAAGCTTTGAGACTAATTTAGTCTAGATTTAATCCTGTTTTAACCTAATTAATTCAGACTTAGCCATTTTCAATTTAACCTTAACTTGCATTTAATCTAGACATAAGCAAGCTTTAAGACTAATTTAGTCTAGATTTAATTCTGTTTTAACCTAACTAATTCAGGCCTAGCCATTTTCAATCTAACTATAATTTGCATTTAATCTAGACATAAGCAAGCTTTAAGACTGATTTAGTCTAGATTTAATCATGTCTTAACCAAATTAATTCAAATTTAAGCAGTTTCAATATAACCTTAACTTGCATTTAATCTAGACATAAGCAGGCTTTAAGACTGATTTAGTCTAGATTTAATCCTGTTTTAACCAAATTTATCCGGACCTAGCCATTTTCAATTTAATCTTAATTTTCATTTAATCTAGACATAAGCAAGCTTTAATACTAATTTAGTCTAGATTTAGTCCTGTTTTAACCTAACTAAACTAGGCCTAACCAGTTTCAATCTAACCTCAATTTGATTTAATCCAGACATAATCAAGTCTTAATCCTGTCTTAACCAAATTAACCCAGACCTAAGCAGTTTCAATTTAACCTTAATTTGCATTTAATCCAGACCTAGCGCAATCTACAGAGCGTCCCAAAAATTTCGCGCAATTTTGAAATGAGAGATTCCTGAGAATATTTGTAGTAACTTCTTCCTTTGCAAAAATCTTCTACGACGCTTTATTTACGAGTTATTAAAGAAAAACTCTGACCAATAAGAGATTGCGTACGACTAACGTCCCGTCCTCGTAACCACTGCCGCTGCGTCAGACGGCCGGCGCGACGCGGCATTGGCCGCAGGGGCGGAGCGCCGGGCGCACTCGCTCTCCGATTGGTCAGTGTTCTGCGTTAATAACTCGTAAACGAAGCGTCGTAGAACATCTTCGCAGAGGAAAAAGTTACTTCAAATGATCTCGGGAATACTTATTTCCGCATTGCGAGACATTTTTGGGACACCCTGCATATGGCATCATTTCGAGCTACTTTTGTGCATCTAAAACAGCTTTAACGAGTCTGCAATAAATTACGTAACTAATTTACACGGAACTTCCTAAAATAATATTTCTCAAAATCACGAATTATAATTATAGAATCATAAATGCTCTCGATTATGTTTCTCAGTCCCTGCTGACTTTAACCATCGTTCAAAAACACAAATATATTACAAAAAAAAACCAAAGATATTAAAATGACGAGTTAATCATATTGCAATACAACTAATTATTCACAATACTAATTAGATGCAATACAACTAATGATACAACTAATTTACTTGCGCAACGAAGATAAATATTAAAAAATCGAGTTAATCAGGTTACAAAATAGAATTATTAAATTCTACAGCGACACGAATTTCTCTCCCGGTCCCGCGACTTAACCGAAACGAATTATCGATCGCTATCGAATCGTTTCGCCGCACTGTCGCGCAACGTTGCAACTTCGTTCGCGGCTCGCGTTTTCCCGCAAATCATCGTCGCCGCGGCGGCCGGTTATTTCAGCCAGCGGGATGTATACACGTCCCGGGCGACACTCACATGAACGCTTTGTAGTTATTGCCTATCTTCTGCACGTGAACGTCGTACTTAGTGTCGACGTACGGCTCCGCCGTGGAATAGGTGTTCGCCAGTGCGGCCAGCGACGCGAGATCCAGAAACTCCTGATTCGTCTCGGCGCGGGCCTTCCCCACTCCGCCGTGGGCGTGGCCGAGCTTCACCACCACCGGGTAACGAGACGCACTCACCTGCGAAAGAAGACGACACGAGAATATAATTGACGCGTCGGGCACGATTACGAGACCGCCACGGCTCTCCCGGCTCATGGGCCGCGCCGCGGAGCCTTTAAAAGCCTAGCGACGATCGATCAAGAGCTACGGGATCGCCGTTCCCGCGGTATTATTAGACCGGATGTTTTCGTGCCGCTGAAAACGATTCCCAGAGATATCCGCTGGAAATTGTTTTCTGAGACGACACGAGCACTCGACAAATTCCGATATCACGCGATTTTCCAGCCCCTTGTGTCGGTCTGACGAAAAAATGCTTCCTGCCAAAGTTAAACGGTATTTCACCGACGAGAATTTGCAGTTGTTTAAATTTATAAACGAACTGATTTTCGATGAAAAATCAAGGTCACCGTGGTATTTTTAAACGAAACTAGGCTATTTTGACCTGGTATTATTGTAGACGACGACGAGACGAATTCAACGACCTGCCACACGATGACCTTCGGGTGACCTTGAAGGAATATAATTTTCACAATATTTGGTTTTTCTAGAAATGTTTATTTTGGAAAATTTCTCGAAATTGAACAAATTAAAAAAGAAATCCTAGGTGTTTCGTAACAGTCCCACAACTATTTTCGCGCACGATTTACGCGTGCCAGCGTGTAACAGCAACGGGGCGAACAACAATAACGGTGAGAATTCTGCATTCCATTCGGAGATCGACGGAAACCAGTCTACCGATGGGACGCCTACGGCGGTACCCGGCCGGTCTTCGATGATCGAAGACCATTAACCGACATCTGTGAATGAAGATCAAAGTCTGCCGATACGCAGGCGGTTGATTAAGCAGTCTACGATATTCGCGTGGGCCGCGAATGATTATTACACGCCGATACCGCTGTCCTGTGTCATTGTGGTGACTCTGCTAGCTGCCTTCAAAACGTGTCTACACCAATCTCAATTATTACATATATTTACTATATATACATATATATATATATATTTAATATTATTGGATTATAATATTATTTAATAAATATATATACATAAATAATATAATATATATTAATTATTACATAGTATATATATAATAATTATATATATATATATATATATATTTATTATATATTCTATGAAATAACTAGTATATATAATTAATGTAACAATTAAATTTGTTGTGAATATTAAAAATCTTTGTGAATCTGTTGTGAATATTAATATTCCGACATATATTTTAATATATGCAATAATATATATTATATGTATTGTATATAATATATATAATAAGAAAAATATATATATTATGTTTATATTTATTATTAAATAACATTATAATTTACTAATATTAAATTATATATATGTATGTATGTATGTATATATATATAATATATTCTATGAAATAACTAATATATGTAATTAATGTAACAATTGAATTTGTTGTGAATATTAAAAATCTTTGTGAATCTGTTGTGAATATTAATATTCCGACATTTGGCTACAATTCTATTGTTAAAATATATAATTCAATACCATCCAATGGGGACCTCGATTTTAAACAATTTTCTTAATTAATTAAAATAAACAATTTTATCGCACGGATCATTGTTAAAACTTTTTGTACCAGTCTTTAGGACCAGCAGGTCAAAAGGTCACGAATATCAAGGTCACGATCCAAGATCGGCAACACATAAAAATCGATAATCTTGTTAATCATAATGTTTAACAATTGTTTTCAACTTCATAATAAAAATCAATATCGTCAATCGCTTAATTCACCGGAAACTCCGCTGTCTCCATTGTTGCGCGGAAGTTAGGGGAGTTTCGACGTTGGTGAACGAATTGTCGCCTTTGGGCGTGGTTTTTCTCCGAGATTTTTCCTTTCGTGGAGAAAAAGAAAATGTTGCACGACGATCCGTAATCTCCATCTGTCACGTGTTTCATCCAGTCCCGCGGTAATCGAGCGAAGAAAAGAGGGTGGGACAGCATGAGATGCTCTCACCGGCGCGTCCCGTTAGCACAGATAACGGCGGCGGCGGCGGCGGTATCCTCGTTGATAGAAAGAAGCCTACCGTGACTAAGTGGTTGATATTGCCTTTAATCCCCCGGCTAGTCTCGGCCGCATCCTGCGCATTTTTTCCTATCCGCTCCCGGAATGTAAAACGCGCCCGTGTCACCTGTCTGTTTACCTGCGACGCGTGAACACTCGCGGAATCGGACAAGAGAGCGAGCGAGCAGAGTCTGTCTAGTTCGTCTGTATTCCGATCGATACTGATTAGGGTAGTACTTCGCTTTAACGATTTCAATCGCTCTGAATTATGTTATCAAGGCAGTCATTTAATACAATTATTGTTTGTGCTATTGTTCTGGGGTCTTAGCTACTTAATTTGGACCTAACCTATACTTACTTAACCTAGAATTAGTCTAGAACTAATCTAGAATTAATTTACAACTAACCCAGGCTTAACCTAGGCTCAACTCAGACCTAAGTCAAACTTCTATTGCTTTTTAGACTCTACCGAAATCTCTTTAGTAAAAGGTGAAAGATTTGGAAAATATTTTCTAGGGAAACCGAAATAGGACCTAACTCAGACCTAACCTAGACTGACACTAGACATCGGTATCCAGCAGACTCATCAATTGTTCTCCTCCAAGGGAATCTTTAATACTGTTTTAATACTGCTTGAAATTACAGCTAATCGTTTTTATCGTAAATGCATGAAATCCGCAATCTAATTCTAAGTATATAGGTCTCCTAAATAATAATTAAGTCCCAATCGAGTTTCAGATTAGGTCTCAGTCTGCTCTCAGTGCACCAAAAAAATTCAGTTCGCCTTAAACTGCGCGCGATCCAGTGATCGTATCAAGTTTCTTAAAAAATTGCACATTATCATGTCGATAACGACAGTGATCTATTGTACCTAAACCACATTCGTCGTTCCACTCTCCCCCCTCCGCTTCCTCGAATTCACTCCAGAACGTCACGAAAAGCACACGTGCTGCAAAAACATGTACCCTCGTGTCCTCTCCATCGACACCACAGTTCCTCAGCCAGTTTGCAACATATGTAGTTCCACACGGTTTCCTACACGATGTCTCACAATGAGTCTATTTGTAGTGCTTTGTTGACGAGCTATTGCATCTATACCCTATTCGTCATTTCGCCGTCGCCAAATTCGCGTCTAGCATCGGCGAAGTAATAAAAGTACCGCAGAAATAAATATTTCCACATCTACCACGTTGCCTCCAAAGATTGCCACGTTGCCAGTTTGCAACGTGGTTTCATGCGATCTCCTACGCGATATTTTACGGTCGAATTTATTTAGAGCCATTCGTGGAAAAAAGAACGACATCACATATTTTATGGCATATAATAGCGTTACGCTATTAAATCTATACCGCATTTGTCGTTTCACTCTCCCTTAAAATAAATTCTGAATAAAAATGAAACAACAAAATCTGCTGAAATCTGTATTTCTTTGTTCTCTATCAGTTTGTCGACTGCAAAACGCGTACATTATATGGCAAAAATATATAAAATATTTATGCATTTATAATATATATTATAATATATTATATTATAATATATTATAATATATATTATAATAATTATATTATGTTATATATATTATATTAGTATTTATATATATTGTATATGATTATATTATATTATATATATTATATATTACATTTAATATATATATATGTGTTATAAGTGCATAAATATTTTATATATTTTTGCCATATAATCTATGGGTTTTGCAGTCGATGACCTGATAATATATATATATATATATATTAATTAATATATAATACATTATGAATTATAGAATATTATATTATTAATTATTTATATAATATACATATATATTTAATATTATATAAATAAGCTTGACATAACCTTGATATAACCGTATCGAACAGCCCAACACGTGCATCGACCCCGAAGAACCAAAGCCAGCTCCGCAACATAGTTGCACGCGATTTTCCGCCAGGATGTCTTACAATGGCGTTTATTTAGAGCCCGGCCGTAGGAAAAGGAAGTGGCTGTTTAATGGATTGGCCGGCGTTGGGTTCGCGTCCGCCTAGCCGTAGTCGGCCGGGACAGTTCGGAGGCAGTGCTCAAACGGCGCGTCGATGCACGTGCCGCGCGCGGCACGTGGGTGTCGCGAAACTGCATCCCTGAGCACCGCTGCGCGCGCGCGCTGCCCCTGTCCCCCCTCCCGCCCCCCGGCTGGCTCTACCGGCGCAGCTGTCGGACACCAACGACGGGGATCAACGGCGAGGGACACGGAGATAAATCATTTATCGTGCCCCGGGGGGAGTTTCGTGGACTCCAAGGGCAGACAGGGGAAGGGGAGGGGTGTCACCTTCAATTTCGTTTTCTGCGGCGCAGTAAAAATATAATGCGCCGCGTTTCACGCGGACGGAAACCGAACGTTTGAAACCGTCCACGTGGACGACGCCGGTGTCCGCCGGCGTAACGAACTAGCGAGTTTCGGTTACACGGGGATCATCGGTTACACGAACAGCCGTCGATGGTTCCTCGGCCGTTGAACCCGGGTCGGGTGCTTTCGAATTGGAAAGCGGCGATCGGGAAATTTCTGCTCGGAATTTCATTCGGTATTTTCATTCGGAATTTTATTCGGTATTTTATTGGGAAGATTATTCGGAATTTTATTCGGAATTTTACTCGGAATTTTACTCGGAATTTTATTCGAAATTTTATTCGAAATTTTATTCCGTATTTTATTCGGAATTTTACTCGGAATTTTATTCGAAATTTTATTCGGTATTTTATTCGGAATTTTATTCGAAATATTCGTAATTTTATTCGAAATTTTATTCGAAATATTCGTAATTTTATTCGAAATTTTATTCGGAATTTTATTCGGTATTTTATTCGGAATTTTACTCGGAATTTTATTCGAAATTCAGTCGCGGAAATACACGGTAATCGATGATCTAACGCGAAGCACATACGAAAGTGAAGTCAAAAAAGAAATCTGCATTATCGACAATTA